TTCCATACATTACATTCTATAAAGCATGATCTAATTCCATCAATAAACATAAGCATTTGCTGCTATCAATTGCTCGTGTATTTCATTGGTGTCCGCAGTTCGGGTTGGAGCCAATTCATTTATGAGCAGTACAGTACGGATTCTCGTATTCCTAAATTCAATACTATTCCGATTACCACAAAACTACAAAACCCCGTCCTCAACCAGATCAGGTGAAGCACGGTGTTTCGAACTGTCCACAAGTTACGAATCACACGATTGCTAAGGTTTACTGAAGCGATCGCTATCAAAACCGATGGAAGCTGCCCTACCTGTGTTAACACAAAGAATTTTACGCTAGCTTGTCATTTTACCCCTCCTTCTTTTATGTTTTGTCTGTTTTAAAGCATTTTATTTCTTAGTGTTTTCATACTAAAACATTTTCTGCGGTATGCGCATCACGTGCTGAGATGTAGCGGAATCGTCCGGGACATGTGATGTGCAGTGCATTACGATTTGCTCACTTCTCTTGAAATGAATCTCGGGAAAGACTTTCTTGCTTCATTAGTCATAATTATTCTCAAAAGATTCTCAGAGTTGAATTAGGCGCTTTTACGTCACATAATGTGTATGTAATGGGTAAAAAGTGAATTGAATAAAAAATTCCAGTCCCCAATATCATATGACTACATACTATACTATATTATACTGTACTATGTGACTTTGGTTACGTTGCGAATTTATCAAATGAGGTTAATTACCGGCTAATTTTATTGCAACCACAATAAATCTCTGGAAATCGTGTCCGAAAGGATGGATCATGTGACCGGAGATGGGATTGCGATAACTGTGGTGTAAGATATGAGCTCAACCAACATAATCCTTCCCTTCATTTTGGCTTATTTTACGTAAATCCTACGCTACCAATAGAGCGATCCCGGATCTACGACACAGTAGTTGGGCACAGGCTTTTGAAGGGCACAAAATAAACGTAACTAAAATAACAACAACTGCAACAACAACAACAACATCAATAACTGTGTGTTGAACACAACTCACCTTTGATCACCAGAATTACCACTTTGTGATGCAATTCAGATCCGAGCTGGAACAGACATCGATATTCCCCGGCATCCTGTTCCCGGACCGGATCGATAATCAACGAAAAGTCCGCCGTATTCATTACTGTTTGAGGTAGTAGATGTATTCGATTGTCACGGGTCACACGAAGCGGTCCGCGTGTCAGAATTCGTCGGGGCATTTTTAACCAGGACACATTGGTGAAATCCTGTCACATTGATTTCGGCCCCCGGTGAGGATGGGGTAGGCAAGTGGTCCGGTGACAGATTGAATTGGAACAGAAGTAACAATTTGACACATGCAAATACACGAACAAAAAAACACGATTCCGCAAAAAGCGGATAGCATAACGATAAGTCCGTAACCACAGAAAACAAAAAGTAAATAGCATATGGTTTCACGAAATAGAGGAATAGCAACTTTTGGTCAAATGTCCCAGAGTAGATTGCCATCATATTTCCACGGAAATCTGGTATTAGAACTCATTAATTCCTAGCGCTTAAATATCCTTCTTCACTGAACCTATTGATTGGCCTCTTGAGCCAGCCTGCAAACTGACCTTGCGTTTATCTAAGCCATAAGGGCAGATGAGAAGATTCATGTAGTTAGAAAGATTTGTGATAACTGACACAATGAGCTCTGAACACAGCTGTTTCGTCCTGTTTTGTGAACTCGTCACCAGCGGATACTTTTTGTGTTCATGTTTGGGACTCGAACCGCGAACATTCGAGTCAAGACTTCAAACCCTTACCTCTGAGCGATACGGTCGACGGTCATCACCTTGTGCGAATGGCTCAATCAATTTAGAGTATCAGGAACATCAAGAGTTTGAATAAAGAAGTCAAAAACACAGGTTTGTACAATGTATCCTAGATCATTTCGCCGCAGTGATCATTAATATATATATGATCAGTAAACGTTTGTTACCAAGGTCGCGTCAGAGCTTAATTTTAGATAGTGAATGTTTAGATTAGCCCCTTCGACTGTTCAGAGACACCGCTGATGATCTTGGGTGTGGGGTTCACTCCTAGGGAGATTGTTAATCCCCCACTAGTTGAATACATTTGTAAGTGACAAATGAATACATTATTCCGAATTCGCTACTCTAAATTATTGTCCTTAGCTTATGATTATTTTAATCTTTATACAAAACAAAACCGCCCAATTATGTCCACAGGAGAAGGGATAAATTAAGTCAAACAACCGATTGAGTTGTCTATCAAAATTATTAAAGTACCAATGCCAGTGACTAAATGGGTTACACAAAACCAAATACTGAAGCGATTTACACCTCCCCTGAACATAATCTATCAGCGAGCTGCAGTCATGTGAGCCACGGTTGAAATTAGAGAACCAACATTGATTGAACATTCATGATCAGGATGCAGTTGAATCAGTTACGGATAATTCTTGAGCACCGATGATCTGCCGGTTTCTCAGAATGAAAGGGATACTAGGACATTGTGCTATGACGAATCGTCAATGGGGTAACAAGCCTATTATCATCATCATCATCATCATCATCATCATCATCATCATCCGTATCATCATCCGAATCATCATCATCATCATCATCATCATCATCATCATCATCATCATCATCATCATCATCAT